GCCACAAAGAGACGGTGACGCTGCTGCTCGACAAGGGCGCCAACGTCAACGCCCATAGTGAACGCGCCAACAACGCACTCTACGCGGCTTCATTTAGAGGCCACAAAGAGACGGTGACGCTGCTGCTCGACAAGGGCGCCGACGTCAACGCCCAGGGTGGATACCACGGCAACGCACTCCAGGCGGCTTCATTTGGAGGCCACAAAGAGACGGTGACGCTGCTGCTCGACAAGGGCGCCGACGTCAACGCCCAGGGTGGATACCACGGCAACGCACTCCAGGCGGCTTCAGTTGGAGGCCACAAAGAGACGGTGACGCTGCTGGTCAACAAGGGCGCTCTCACATAAGAGCAGGGTGAGGAAAGTTTCCAAAGACACAACAGATAGTGCTAACCTAGATAGTTCTATCCTCTGTTCTTTCAGCGTCCTGCTCTGTGGGCTTAGTCTCTTTTAGTCCTAGACTGGCTGAGCACGCTTAGTGTAATCATGCTTACGAGTGAGATCTCACAGTCATTTTGACGACCCTGTACTTACCTTCGCCACTGTTGGCAAACAATATGGCCGACCCGCACCGGCCACACCCTTGCCAGGGAACAGTTTATGTGTGCTTGCCAGAAGACGGAGACTGCGCCACAAGGTGTAGCTGGATAGCAAGGCTTTAGTTATCACTGTAGCTTAGAGTGTGGCTAGCGAAAGTAGCAGTTTAGACAGTTTCTGTGATCTTCGAAAGCCAGGATTCAGATGCGAAAAGTAACACTCCAAGCGCGCTTAGCACAGCCACTGCGCTAAATCTTTTTGCCCCACCTCTAAGCGAGCACATCGCATTTTCCGACCTCTACATACACCCGTCTCGCTTTTACCGACACCAAACTTTCGTAAGGTTTGGATGCCTTCACTTCTGAGCCTCTTCAGCTTCGCCCTCAGATTCTATGACGCTTTCCTGTTCTTCTAGGGAGATCTGTGAACTTTTTTAGCCGCAGGCAATATCGCGCTTCCTCTGCCTCTCTTACTCTCACATCAACTCTCCCGCTCAGGACGCTCACCGGAAGCGTCTAAAGATCACTAGTGGTAGAGAGCTGTCTGTCTCTATGAGCCTATTGTAAGTAATTCCTTACTGCCTCCACCATTCCGTCGCCTGAGCTCAGAGAATATGAGGTTCAGATATAGATACTTGGGGGGTGAAAGGTTTCTATACACTTCCACTTTTCACTTTTACTGCGGTTGAAGGGTGCTGTGGAATGGCAGAAGCTCACCTTTTCTAAGCTCTATACGCTTAGTTCTCTGAGCTTCCGGAGCTATACACTTTCACCCTCACCACACTGAAAGGAGGGTACTGTGGAATGGCAGAAGCTCGCCTTTTCCGAGCTCTATGTGCTCAGTTCTCTAAGCTTCTGGGGCTATACACTTTCACCCTCATCACACTGAAAGGAGGGTGCTGTGGAATGGCAGAAGCTCGCCTTTTCCGAGCTCTATGTGCTCAG